ATAATGTTTGGGTTGTTATTTGGAATCTTTACTGAAGAAGAAATAGAGAAAGAGGCTGTTAACAGTTCAGAGTAAAGAGGGGAAGAGAGGTTTGTTTCAGTGTAGAATCCTTAATTTTTATGATTTTCTTCTGAAACTTTTAAAATTTTCATCTAAAAATTTTTTTTAGTTGTCAATGGACCTTTATTTTATTTATTTATATGCAGTGCTGAGAATCAAACCCAGGGCCTCACACATGGCTAGGCAAGCGCTCTACCACTGAGCCACAACCCCAGCCCAAATTTTCATTTTTAATAGTGATAAAATATGCATAACTCAAAATTTACCATCTTAATAATTTTTAGGTGTACAGTTCAATACTGTGGGAATGTTCAAATTGTGCAGTAGATCTTGAGAATTTTTTTATCTTGTGGAAGAACTGAACTCTGTTCCCATTAAACAACTCCCATTCCCTTCTTCCCCCAACCCCTAGCAAGTACCATTCTACTTTCTGGTTGTAAGAATTTAACTTCTCTAAGTACTTCATCTGAGTAAAATCACTGTATTTATCTTTTTGTGACTATTTCCCTTGTTATCACGGTTCATCCATGTTGTATCATGTGTCAGAATTTCTGCCTTTTGAATGCTGAATATTTGATTTGTTTATCCTTTCACCTGTTGATGGTCATATGGGTTGCTTCCACCTCTTGGTTGTTGTGACTAACACTTCAATGAACCTAAGTGTACAAGTATTTCTCAAGTCACTGTTTTGGATATGTACCCAGAATTGAAATTGCTGGATCATACTGGTATTCTATGTTTAATGTTTTGAGGATCTGCCATACTCTTCTGTATTTTGTGGCCAAGGAGATTCAGTGAAGTAAATGATAAAAGCATAGAACTAAAAGTTAGTAGACCATGATTTTGTTTCATCTGCTTTTGCCATTTGCCAGTCAGGAGATTTAGAAAGATTACTTTTCTGATCCTCAGTTTAATTACCTGGAAAATGAAAAACAGTAATTCCCTGGTAGTCTCTGGGCCTCACTCATTTACTTATTGAAGGAATATGTGTGTTGGAAGCCTTGCTCTAGGACTGGGGCTGCAACATTGAGCAGACAGACAAGGTTCTTGCTCTTTGGAAGTTCACAGTCTGATGGATTTTAGCACTGAGAACAGAAACTGGCTATGAGAGTGCTTAGTAAACAGTAAATCACCAAGAAAATATTAGTGTTATGCTTGCTCCATTGAAGTTTTCTTCTGGAATGTTTGGGTTGTTATTTGAGCAATAAATTGATGGAAAAAGAAAATAAAAAGAAATGATAGGTATCTCTGTCATAGAAGTTAAGTCCTTACATGAAATAGGCAGATATTAAATATTTGTTGAGTGTGTAAGGGAAGGTATTGGGATTTGGAAATTCAGTGTAAGTAGATCTAAGTTTTATGTCTCTTTGTTAAGTCTTCAGAATTGTTAAATCCATTTTAAGAAAAGTTGGGAGTTATATCTAGCACTCAAAGGAACATAGAGTTGACCATACAGAAAAAAATTAACTCAAAATTTAAAATACTGATTTTTAGAGAGTGTAAAATCACACATCACTGTCTCTAGATTTCCAAATATAAATTAGAAGAACTTAATGCCATTGTAAAGAGCCAACCAGGGCTGGGGTTATAGCTTAGTAGTGCAATGCTGCCTAGCATGTGAGAGGCACTGAGTTTGGTCCCAGCAAGCACCACATAAAAAATAAAATAAAGGCATTGTGTCCATCTAAAACTAAAAATATTTTTTTAAAAAAACAACAGGACCAAATATCTAATGTTTCTCATTGTGAATGAGGTAAATTTAAGGTCAAATATGATTTATTGAATTATTTTGAGGGGTAAAAGGGAAGTTTAGTTCCTGAAATTGTATTTATACTTAAAACATACAAAATGAGAATTTTTTTCTTCCTTAAAGAAGTCACATTTAGCAGGACACAACTTGAGTGATCACGCATGCAGTGATGAAGATTCTGTATTATCTATTTTAGAATTTTGCCACTTTTCATCAACTTTTCAATTATATAAATATCTAATAAATTCCAAAAGTTCTAAGGCCGTGGACTGTGATACTTCATTTTTACACTCATTTGCACAGGACCCTGGGTGTTGACACTAATAAGCACTGGTGTGGCTGTGCCGGGGCAGCTCAACAGCTCCTTAGCAGATGGCTTTCTCCATTTCTTCTCCTCTACAGGCAAACATGCTGAAGACATATTTGGTGAGTTGTTTAATGAGGCTAACAACTTCTACATCAGAGCAAATTCTCTTCAAGACAGAATTGATCGCCTTGCTGTCAAAGTTACCCAGCTGGATTCCACAGTTGAAGAGGGTAGGTAATTGCATGAAAGCAGTGAGCTAGAAGTGATGTTGACAAGACGGTAGTAATTAATTGCATTGTAATTACTACTTTTTCCTTGGGGTAGTATGTTGACATTTCATCTCATCGTTTCCTAGAAGAATAGTGAGGAAAACCCTACAACATTGGGTTAATTAGTGATGAAAAGATTCATGTCTTGTTTATCTCATACACCATGCATTTTCTATTTTATATATATATATATATATATATATATATATAAATACTACAATTATATATAAACATAGTATTTGTTCTAAAGGATTCTTCAAATATATTCAGTAGTAGAAGTCCTAATATAGGTTAATGGTAGTTATTTTGAAAATACATTCTTGCCTAAAACAGAACCATCCAAAGAGATAGTCCAACCAAGAGGGAGGGTCATAGGTGTATCAAGCCAAAGAGCAAAACCTTTAGCCTAATTGTTAGGATTGATGCTTATGAATAATCTTGGTGATTCTGCCAATTTAAAAAATGTTATTAATCTCAGAAATAGCAGTTACCAAAGGCCTTTAAGCTCAAGTTTTAAAATAACATTAACGAAACACTGTGTAAGTTAACTGAAAATCATTTTGATTATATTTCCTAAAATTGTGGCAGTTGCAATAAAATTTAGGCCATCAGTAATTCCATTTTAAAAATTTCATTTTCAGTATTTTTTGAATGAAAGTCTGAGATTAGACTGGAATAAATTTGCTAAAAAATTGCAAGATACACCATTCATATTTGCTTTGAGAAAAACATTCAAGTTATGAATTATTTTTAGAATTTCTAGATTATTTTAGAATTTCTCTCATTGTTTTAAAATGATCCCAGCATTTGATTTTTGTATTATACCTATTTATAGTAGTATCAATAAAAATAAGCTGTAAATTAAAAAAAAAACATAGTTTATTTGTGAAATTTATCCCTCATTATTTTAAAAAGTATATTTGTTCGTGCTCAAAGGTAAAATTAAATTAGTATCAATATCCATTATGAATGTTCTGACTTTTCCAACAATAGGAAGCTAAAAACATGCTCTTTTAAATCAGATATTTTGAATTTTATTTTCTAGTTAAAAATAAAAATTTAGGGCTGGGGTTATGGCTCAGTGGTAGAGTGCTTGCCTAGCATGTGTGAGGCACTGGATTCAGTTCTCAGCAGCACATATAAATAAGTAAATAAAATAAAGGTCTATCAACAACTAATAAAAATATTAAAAAAATAAAAATTTAAATGGCAATTTTGTCAGTTGAGATAAGGAATTCATAACATCTTAAATCTATTATTTAGTTTTAAAATTGATAGCACAAGTGATTGTTTGGTTTTTTTTTTTTTTTAATTAGCTTTAGTCGGACACAATACCTTTATTTCATTTATTAATCTTTATGTGGTACTGAGGATTGAACCCAGTGCCTAACACATGCCAGGCAGTATTCTACCACTGAGCTCCAGCCCAGCACAGGTAATTTTTAATATTCAACTTTATTAGGTTTTTATCTTGGCTTTTTGAATTGAAATGATTATGATAAACCTTATGCTGGAAAAGGTTAATCTCTAGATGAAATTTTATGACATTTTATAGTACGTGTCATGTCTTTACAATCCCTTTTCAATTAAGATTTTACCTTATTATTTTCCTTGATATGGATATGAGAGTGGAAGAGATATTTGACTGAAATATAGGAAATATAGCTCACCTTTTTTTTTCTCAGGGGGTGAAGGCTGGAAGATGTTTTAAGTGTCACATAACAACCTGAATTAGTTTCAGTGGCCAAGCTGGTGTGTTAATAGGACCAGTGTACTCTCCACAAAAAGTTTATATCAAGGTCAGATGAGTGAACAAATAAAATGTAAATGCTGTACAGACACAAGAAAGAAATATATCTAGCACTGATATTTTGGCTCCTTTGTATAGTTTTGTTTCATAAGTCAAGCAACTCAATTTCTAGGACTTTATGTTAAGAAACTTTTGTTGTCTTTCCTTAATGTCAGTGTTGTAAAAGCTTAATGTGTTATTTACACTTGTGCGATTTTTGCACAAGTATAAGGTATTATACTTAAACTACTATTAACTGAGGTTTTCCCCTAGGATGCCGAAATCTATGTATTTACATGCCTTTTATACTCATAACTATATTCCCATGTGGTTTCTGAGAAGGACTGTTTAAATAATCTGAAGCTGTACTACTTAGGTCCAGTGAAAAATTTGATCTCTACAGAGGAAGAAAAGCCATAATTTGACCATATTTTAGAGAAAACTGTTACCTCTAAGCGAGGAGGGATGGTCATTTTCTTTAAGCATGGTTTTAAATGAACAATTTAAAAAAACCATCATTTGGTTATTACAGGAGATGTTTACTATAGTGGGTCAATTGATACTTATTCCTAAATGGTTAAAAATTCTGTATAATTTATATATATATATATATATTCATATTTGTATATAATTTAACTTGGGGGACTTTTCTCTATACAGTGTCACTACAGGACATCAACATGAAAAAAGCTTTCAAAAGTTCCACAGTTCAAGATCAGCAGGTGGTTTCAAAGAACAGCATTCCTAATCCTGTTGCTGACATTTACAACCAGAGTGATAAACCTCCACCTCTGAACATCCTGACACCTTACAGGTATGGCTTCCCACATCCTCAAAGTGTTTTTAGTCATTGTGGATGGAGAGTTAGACAGTGTTGGAAACACACTTATGTACTGGATGTATCCTGGATAGCTCATTTGGGTTAAAAGAATTCTTTCAAACTTTGAAAACAATAATGCTGTTGAAATTAGTCCCTGGTGCTGGATTACTAAAGTTCTGGTATTTCAGGATACATATCACTTACCAGGAGAAGTTTGAACTCTGATTTTAACTGTTAGACTTGGATGTTTTAAGTGGAAGTGGGCATTTTATATAATGGCTTTATGTGTGATTATCTTGTTGTTACTTATGTTCAAAGCCAATTCAAAAGGAGCAGCACAGTTTATTTATAATGCAGCAAAATATCTGTCTCAGTGCTTTAGCACTGCAGAGACATTTATTATTAATTCAGAAAAATGTATGCTACAGTGTTAGGGGTTTTTAAGGGTGAAAATAGAGTCACAAAATTAACTTTCTGTTATTGTTAAAATGGTAAAATACTTTATAAGGACCAAATTTCTAAGAAAAAGGACAGAAAATTTTTAAAGGCTTCTTCCTCTGTCCATCTTTGTTCCCTGTGTTAGTCAGCTTTTTGTTGTAGTGACCAAAATAATTGATAAGAACAAGTTAGAGGAGGAAAGATTTATTTCGGCTCATGGTTTCAGAGGTTTGAGTCCATGATCAGCCTTCCATTTCGTTGGACCTGAAGTGAGGCAGAGGATTGTGGTGGAAGGGCATGGCAGAGGAATGCTGCTCAGTTCATGGATACCAGGAAGCAAAGAGAGAAAGGAAGGGACTGGGGGAAGATAAAACCTTTTAGGGCACACCCACAATGACCTGCTTCCTCCAACTAGGTACCACCTCCCAAAAGTTCATTTAACCATCAGTGGATTAGTCCCACCTATGTGGTTAGACCCCTCATGATCCAGTCACTTCTCAAAAATCCCACCTCTGAATACTGCTATATTGGAAACACAAGACACTGGGGGACAGTCTGGATTCAAACTACAACACTCTCCTCTTTGGAGGCCACTTATTTCACCTCTGCCCAGCACAGATTGTGGAAATCAGTGGCCCTAGAGTCAGTGCTGCCAGCTGTGCTCCCACAAGGGCCTTGGAGAATACTGTGTGTTCTTTGTATGTGTCACTGCCTTGACATTCCTGCCTGCAGGGCCCTGCTCAGGGAGAGCTTAGAGTTTCCCGAGTCTCATTTTCCATCCTTTCTGGGATCAACAAGGCTTGGAAATACCTTTTATCACAGCTATATCAGGAAAGGGCAGTTGAAACTGAGTCCCTTTTTTCCTGCATAGACAGAAAAGATTCTCTCAAAACAAATATAAGAGCTCCCTTTAAACTGATGGGAGATGAGCAGGATTCCCCCCTAAGAAGTTTGTATAAAAATGGAACAAGTATACTTGCTGGAGGTTATAGAGCACAAATTTTAAAAATATATGATACATATGAATAAAAGCATGGTAATCCTGGTGTATTGGTCAACTTTTGCATTCCTGTGACTAAAAGACTGGACAGGAAAAACTTAAGTGGAGGAGCCATTTACTTTGGCTCATGATTTCTGAGCTTTAATCCATGGTCAGCCAACTGCATAGCTCTGGGCCCAAGATGAAGCAGAACATCATGGCATAATGGCATGGTGGAGGGACATGGAAACCAGGAAAGAGAGAGAACTGTACTCACCAAGGACAAAAATATAAACCCCAAAGGTACACTCCCAGTGACCTACATCTTCCAGTCACACCCTACTTGCCTACAGTTACTGCCTAGTTAATCCATGCCAGTGGATTAATCCATGATTAGGTTATGTCTCCCATAACCCTAAACATTCTTGCATATTTTCACCTAGTATTTTTGTGACTGCTTTCATTTTTTAAAATTATTTTTTGTAGTTAAGATGGGCAGAATGCCTTTATTTGTTTATTTTTATGTGGTGCTAAGTATCAAACCCAGTGCCTCACACATGCTAGGCAAGTCCTCTTCCACTGAGCTATAACCCCAGCCTCTTGTGACTGCTTTCATTTGATAAATGTTTTTTCAGGACAATTTCAGTTTTATTTAGTGCTGGCAGCCCCACTATAAACACTGTAGTGTGAGGGCCTGCTTATTAGAATTCTCCTACCTGATATTATTAAGGAAGCTCACTAAAAATTCTATGTTAAAGGAAATAATCCAGAATATCCAGTGAACCACATGTATTTGACTAATCAAGATCATGATTAAATATCTGTAGTGATTTAAATTTTAATTGCATAAAATGATTTTATATATTATTTTAATGTACATAATATATATAATGTGTACATATTCAGTCTTTTGGAAAATAAAGCATGTCTTTGGTTTTTTAATAATGTGTTTTAAGATTAGCAGTGGCAGCCCAAATCTACTTTTTATTCATAAAACAATAATTGAGATACATAAAACATAAAATTATGCATTTGAATTAAATGTGTCACTGTGACATGATGAAAAGTGGTCAGATGATGATAAACATTAGACATATCTGCTTTTAGTCTTATGTCAGGATTGGCATTTGTTTACTTCATTGAGCTTCTATCTTCATTAGAGTATTAACTGCATTTTTAAAAGCAAGAATGTGCATTTTAGATATCTTCAACTTTTCAGCAAGTTCCTCAGTTTTCCTATAATTCTATATTCAATTCCTTAGTGTCTTAGGGAACCAAATTTGCTTTTTCACAATTATGTTACTAATAAAATCTCTATCATGCAAGCTGCTTACAAGTTGGGAAACTAGAAGAAAGGAAGGATGTTAAATAATCCAAGGTTAAAGTATATATAGAAAGAGTTGCACTGGTTTGTTAGTGATCTTCAGACACAGTGACTAGAATAGCCATGGTAGGAATATGGGCCTTAGCGTTTTATAGTGAGAAGCCTGCAAGAGATGACGTAGCAGGAACTTTAAGGATAGACCTTTTCCATTTTTTCTTCCTGTGTTAGCTTTCTTTTCTTGGGCATAAGCTCTTTCCTGTCTATACTCATTTAACTGATTTTGCATCTCAGTACCTTAAATGACTTGTTGAAATATTAGTATGAAGTATGAATGTACTGCTTCCTCTTGGGAAGTCTACAGGCCACATGGTTTTTAAAAACGTTAGTATTATAGAGAGTTTACTTTGCATCATGATTTTTTTGAACATTCCTATTGATTTATATTACACTTTGGATTCATATTGGCTACATTGTTCTTGGTTGCATGATAAGTGAGTAATTTTTTATGAGGCCTTTGAAATATTCCTAAGACCACAGTATTTGAAGAAGTACTTGACACTAAAATGACCACAAGTGAATGAACTTGCTTTGAAAATATATAGTTTATTGCTTTTTTTCCTAGTTACAATTATATCCATGAAAATTTTCTTTGCTGATTGAATTTACAGATATTGGGCAACCTGGTTGAGAAGAAGAGACAGCACTTTATAGTTTTTATTCTAATAATATTGAAGCTCAGAGTAGAAGTAAATGTATCTGTATAAGAGTCCATTCATCCCTGTGTATACCTCCTTGTTGGAATAAACAAAATATTTCCTGAAATATTAACACTCAGTAGTCATGAGCTTCATTGTGATTTTTACAGAGCAATTTTCTATTCTTAATTCTGAGTGTGCAAGAATACTTTCGTTATTCTGGAACAAGTTGCTGTTTGTACATTTTTCCACATTTTTTCAAAAGGAAATTTAGAGAATTAATAAAGTATAGGATAGTTAAGATGTCCTCTGCAAATGTTACAATGCCATGAGTTAAAATTAAATTCACATTAAGATGTCCTCTGCAAATGTTACAATGCCATGAGTTAAAATTAAATTCACATTAACATGCATATGAAAGTATCTAATAATCTTTTTCCCCTTACTTATAATACATTGATTCGTAGAGATGATAAGAAGGATGGGCTGAAGTTCTATACTGATCCTTCCTATTTCTTTGACCTATGGAAAGAAAAAATGCTACAGGATACAGAAGACAAAAGGAAAGAGAAACGGCGTCAAAAGGTAAGTAATCCCACTGTGGGAAAGCTGCATATCACTGTGGATTTGGGATTCTTGTTTAGAAGTAAGTAAATCACTAAGTGCTTTATTTAAATGGTTGAGTTGTTTGATTTAGTACTCAAGGTTTTTATAGAGGGTAAAAAAGATCCTGACAATTCAATGTAACACAGTCATACTATTTTTCTATAACTACTGATTTATTCTCCAGCACTGGCTTTGCTTTAATAATAGTAGTGACTAAAATTTCAGTTTTCTTGGTAACCATGTTTTATAGCTTCTCTCCTTCTGATCCCTCAATTTTTCATAAAGCGGTCAGCCTTCCATATCAGATACAAGGATGTACTTCTGTCTATTTAACTTTTTTGGTGTCATAAATGTGACACCTTGGTGAAATGTGCATAGTGGATTGGGAAGCATGTGTAATCTGGGTTCAGGGATGGTATTTACTGAAAATGAGCTTCTGTTTGTGGGTAGCCATAGGCAAGAGAATTGCAAGTCAGACTGATGAGAAACACCTGCCTTACAGGCAGTCATGCAAGCATAATTCTGCTTGCTCAAGTTAAGGAACTTCTGCTTTGAAAATTACCTCTTTGGGGCCCAGAACTCAGACTAAGCCACCTAGAAGAGTACTTCTTTGAGGACAAGATTTTGCTAATATTTTTATATGTAACCTGTGTTTAAAAGTGATGTATAATAAGAATTGTAACGCATTTCATTGTCATTTAGTTTTTTAAAAAAATCAGTTAAAAAAAGTGACCACCCAGTTTTGTTGACAAATATTACAGTGCATTATTTAGGAGAAACATTTAGCATTCTGTGGATTGGCCTTTAGGTTTTGGCACATTCAGGTATATTTGTTCAGTTGGAGAAAGAAGAATTTGAGGTTTGAAAACAGGATTTTTAAAAGAGAAGATATGGAGCTGAGGATGTAGTTCAGTGGTAGAGTGCTTGCCTAGCATGTGGAGGTCCTGGGTACCAGCCCCAGTACTACAAAAGAACAGAGGGAGAGAGCAGGGGGAAAAGGAGGAAAGGAAAGAAACTGGTCTCTGGAAAAAGATTTAAAAGCTGTGGATTATTTGAATACTCAATTTCAGTTAATTTTGCTCATGGCTTAGAAAGATTTAATTGGGAATTTTGAAAGAACTGCTGAAGTTCTTCAAAGTATTCAACCAAAGAATAAATGGAAAAGAAACAAGTATGTGTTTATTTCAATCCCTATACTTTTTGACAGTAACTGGACAAAACCCTAGGACTTTTGAGAGTACCTTTTTTTAAAACTTTCTGTCCTTTTAAAAGGCAGTTTACCTTCTCAGTGATTCTTTGGGGAAGAATATTTAATTTTGTGACCTTTTTATTTTGAAGGGAAAATCATCTTTTATGTAAGATTATTGTGTCTTCAAAATCATTTGTCATTTCATTAGTTATTTTTTCTCATTTTATATTCCTCAAACACAATTCTGATAAAAATTCCTGATTCATTCATTTATGTAATAATTTTTGTTAAATGCTGGGTAAGCAGTGATGGAGAAAACAAGACTGTCACACACCTGGTTTATAACACAGTGAGGATCCCTGGCCTTATGCTGTCATGAGCCTGGAGCTCATACAGAGAGAAAAGTTCAACAGTGTCAATGCCAAAGTGCTTCATAGTGGAATAAAAAGAAAATGAAGCATGGTAGCCTTCATTTCCAAGGACTTTAGACACCAAGTCATGTTCTATTTTCTTTTGACAAACTTGAAGGAAGAAACTAATTTAGAAAATTTGTGAATAAAACAATCCATTGTTTCTGTATTTCAAGTTTCCTCTATTTTTTGATACTTTTAAACCCTAAAAAATTCTGTAAATAAATAAGAAGTGTTTTGTTTTGTTTTGTTTTGAGGGTACCAGGGATTAAACCCAGAGGGGCATTAATACACCCCCAGCCTCCTTTTTAAAATTTTTTATTTTGAGACAGATTCTTGTTAAATTGTTGAAGCTGTCTTTGAACTTGTGATCCTCCTGTCTCAGCCTCTCAGATTGTTGGGATTAAAGGCATCCACCACCATTCCTGACCAAATATGAAGTTGTTTTGTTTGTTTGTTTATACCAGGGATTGAACTCAGGGGTGCTTAATCACCAAGCCACATCCCCAGCCCTTTTTATTTTTTTATTTTGAGAGAGGGTCTCACTAAGTTGCTGAGTCTGGCTTTGTATTTTGGATCCTCCTGCCTCAGGCTTCAGAGCTACTGGGATTACAAGTATGGGCCACCATATCTGTACATAGTTACACTGCTGCCAAATATTATAAAGTACAGAGTTTTGTGGGTGAGATGACAAGTAAGGTGGCAGCATACATGCAGAGGAGTGTCAAGGAAGACCTTTGTAAGGAAGTGTTACTCAAGCTGAGGTCTAAAGGATAGATAGCTTTGTAGAGTAAGGGTATGGGTGAGGCATAGATAGTATGGAGGGACAGAGGGCAGATGAGGCCAGTGTATTTTAGAATCAAGGGACCTGCTAGGCAGAAATAAGAGTATCCTGGAGTAGGGAACAGGATTTTATTGTAGGCCAGTGTTGTTAATATTTATGGTTGATTCTTGTGCGTGTGTGTATGTTTGTGTGTGTCCATCTTGCATGCATCTTAGGTAGAATTTAAGACATTTGAAGAGGGCTGGAGATGTGGCTCAAGCGGTAGCACGCTCGCCTGGCATACGTGCGGCCCGGGTTCGATCCTCAGCACCACATACAAACAAAGATGTTGTGTCCGCCGAGAACTAAAAAATAAATATTAAAAAAATTCTCTCTCTCTCTCTCTCTCTCTCTCTCTCTCCCCCTCCCACTCTCTCTTTAAAAAAAAAAAAAAAAGACATTTGAAGAAAGTAACACACTTAATTCCTGAATATTTCAGCATACATCTCTTAAAAAATAAGAGTAGTAGTTATTAGTTATTTTAACACAGTGGTTCCTCATTGGAATAACATTGAAACCCCCACACACACATATTTTTTTTTAATATGTAGACAATATATGCTGGCTATAAAATGCTCAACTAGCACTGAAGGAAATAAAGGCATGCCCTTCCCTGAGAGGAGCTAACTACTGTTTACAGTTTGGTGTGCATTTTTCAAATCTTGTAAGCACATATAAATACATGCATACACATTTAATAGTATTCTGTATACATAAAATTGTGCCACATGATTTGTACACACCACTGACATTGTTAAAAATGTACTTTATTCTCAATAGTTGTGTAGTATTCTGAAATATAAATGCTCTATCAGTTATTGACTCATTACTATATTAACAAATGCAAAAAGTTTCTAAATTGTTGCTTTAATTTAAAAATACTGCAGTGAGTAATCCAGTATCCATGTGCAGGTATTTCTTTAAATTTGTAGAAGTCAAATTGATGTTAATGAAAAGAATGTTAGTTTTGAGATTTGAAAGATGCTATCGTATTGCCCCTGACCCTTAAAAGACAGAAGAACTAGTTTGTACTAACAGGTCCCCAGTCGCAAATATTATTTTGTTGAATGAGCGCCCATTCCCTATCACCTATAGTATGCATCTTTTCATATTCTTATTTGCCATTTCAGTATCTTCTGTGAAATTCATGTGTATATACTATGCCACTACATTGCCAAAGTTTTTTGGTCCCCCCCATCCTCCTCCCAGGGATTGAACTCAGGGGTGCTCAACCACTGAGCCACACCTCTAGCCCTTTTTACTTTTTGTTTTGAGACAGGATCTCACTAAGTTGCTGAGGCTGGCTTTGAACTTAGGATCCTTGAATAACACTAAAAATAACCCAGTTCTCTAACTTGAGCCACCTGCCATCATCTAACTTCAGCCACCTTAGTAGCTTTCTAACCCATGCTCCTGTATTTCTTTTTAATCTGTTCTCCACAATATAGAGGTCTTTTCAAATGCCTCCTCAAGTCAGCCCCTGCCTTCTCGTTTTTTGGAGATTTCAGTTTAACTTCTTTTTTTTCTCCTAATGCAGTGCTCTCGCTCCTCCTCAGTGGCCTCTTTTGCTGTGCAGTGGCCTCTTTTGCTGTGCAGTGGCCCATGATGTCTGTAGAATTAATGTCTACTCATGCTGCAAATCTGATCCCTAAGTCCCTGCAGGACACCTCCTGTCTTTCAGACTAGAAGGTGTTAGAGATATATGTACATATATTTAAACATATAAATACCTGTATATATCAAAATATAAGTATGTAAATATAAAATATGTATATGTAATATGCATTTTATATAAAATACGTTTTAAAAAATATATACACATTTATATTTTATCATATTTTATAATGATACATTTATTTGTGTCATCTTGTAGGCTTTCTTGCTGGACTGCAAGCTCCTTGAGAGCAGAGACCCTTATTGTTCTTTCTTTCTTTGCCATTTGTGTCAGTAGAGCCTGGCACAGTGCCTGGGATGCAGTAAGCTCTAGAAGCTCATTCTTAAAGCATGGATTTGATCATTTAGCCAGTATTTATTGAGTGTGTACTCATATGTTGAGGTCCCTAAGAGGGAAGCATAGGAGGTAAGAGCACATGGTTCTTGTCCTTAAAGATCATATAATCTTATGAGGGAAGCAGCAGGAACTCATAGATATATACATAGAAGTAACTGTCCTCACAACTTAAAGAAGGACCTGCATAGGACTTAAGTGTTTAGTCAGTACATTTTGCTGTCAGGTAGGGATTGAGCAAGAATGACTCTATGGGCAGGTAAGTTTTTATTTTATTTTGTTTTGTGTTAAGCTAGTTTCAGTGTTAAATATTCTATATTAATCTTTTAGGAATTGGGAATAGAAAATTCTGAATTGTTTTCTTTGAAAGATAATTGCATGTTAACAATCTAAGCGAACTTGTTTAGTTGTGGGAAGTGATTTTTCTGAAGGGTATTGCCAGTATTTTATGTGTGTGGTACATTTAAAACAGGCTACCAGCCTAGTGAAGTGCACATTCTTTACCAAAAATCATGGTAAGCAACTCTAGCAGTTGTAGCACAGTAACATTTTTTTAAAATTTAGATTAAAGAACTAAGTCTCAGTTACTTTCTGTTGAGTCTGTTGGGAACAAGTATGATGCTTTAGAATTTTCTTAACAGTAGGGTAATCAAAATGTGAATGTCTCTTGTGTGTGCGCCAAGCTTGTTTCCTATGCATTGTAACTGCATTTAACCTGCTGTTTTCCTTTCCCTTCTGTCTTGGCATGCTTTCTTTCTTTTCCTGGACGTCAGGAGCAAAAGCGTATAGATGGCACCACCCGTGAGGTGAAAAAGGTTAGAAAAGCCAGAAACAGGCGCCAGGAGTGGAATATGATGGCATATGACAAAGAGCTTAGACCCGACAACAGGTTGTCTCAGAGTGTGCACCACGGAGCATCTTCCGAGGGATCTCTGTCCCCAGACACTAGGTGTGTGTGTGTCACAGCCCCCTACCCCATGCTTGGGGCCACTGTATGCTACCTGGTTTTGTTACAATTGGAAATATACCAGCAGTTTGGGGTTTATATGACCCACAATATGTTTCACAACTCTCCTTAAAACTTACTTATGTATATTTTGATTATTATTACCTTAAGGCAGTATTAATTTAAATTGGGTTGCTTTATCTGATTTTTAAAAAAATCTCTTTGATTTAAACTTACTCTTCAGTTAATCTAGAAATAGTTAACATTAATTCAAAATTTGGAGTAACTGCCAATGACTTCAATTTTACTTTAATAATTACTTAGTCCTTTATTTTTGGCTTTGAGTTTTGAATTTCCTTTGGTAACTTGTTATCTAAAACTGATCTGAAACTGATCAGGTATTCCTGTGACTCAGGAATACCTTCTTGAGCATTTTGATAATCCTCTGGAAGAATGATGAAGAAAAAATGATTTCTTACTTTAGATAACTAATTTTGTATATTCTAATTTCAGGAGAAATTTTCTGGTGGAGTTTATTTTAAAATTTTAGTGATTAAGAACAAATGTTTCTTTCAGGTGTGAATTAGTAGGTCACATTTGTCACAAAAGGGAGTCATTGGAAGAGATGATAAAAACTGATTAGCCAATTTTAACCTTCTGACTTAATTTCCTCCTTCTGGTTTTGTTGTTGTTTTCCATTTGCATAGACTCTCAAAGTCATCAACATTTAAAGTTTTGAATAGAGAATTCTTATGTGATTCAAGAATACATCAAAAACAGCAGTAACCTGGATCTTGTGTTTTATCTGTGTCCTTTTTCTTCTTCTTTTTACCTTTGTGGCTTGTCTTAGCAGACTTTAACATGTAGAAGGTGCTAACTGAATATTTGCTGCCGAGATTTATTTGGTAGATAGAGTGGCGTAAATATTCCTACTGAAGTAGATCTGTGTTTCATTGGTAGGATGTGAGGAAAGATTGAGGTCCCCCCCTTTTCTCCCCCTCCCCCTCCCCCTCCCTCCCCCCCCCCCCCCCCGTTTTTGGTCCTGGGAATTAAACCCAGTACCAAATCATTTAGACGAGCCCTTTTTTATATATTTTATTTTGAGAAATGAAGTTGCTTAAGCCCACACTAAGTTGCTGAGTCTGGCTTTGAACTTGAGATCCTCCTGCCTCAGCTTCCTAAGTCTTCGGGGATTATAGGCATGTAGCTTTTACAGCTGGCATCTATTAAATATTAGAGAATTATTGGAGCTTTCACTGACTTCTAGCCCTATATTTAAATATTTATGTGTTTATTTCTGTCAAAAGTTAAAATGATGCTATAGTTCTGCTTCTAGTTCTTTGGGGTAGGGAAGAATATGTGAATTTCATATCTCCCATTGATGTCAGTTTGCTTTTTTCATTTCCCAAATAATACAGTTGTTATTATTTATTCATGAAGAATTTATACTTTGTTTTTTCCCACATATAATCTTTTTTTAACAAATGCAAATAGAAAAATGATGAATTTTTTAAAAATCCTCAGTTGAATGATTGATACTCATTCTGGCATCTGAGATGAGATTATTCCAAAGATTATTATTCTTTGTTAGGCACAAAGCTGATGGTTATTTAAATTATTTAGTATCTGCCTTTATATTTGTGTTGCTTAGATAAGTCTTCATTTCTCTTATTTTTCAAAAAGCAAATAGAATTGTTCATTTTGTTTCTTCAGAATTTCGTTTTGTCTCATACTATTTCCCATGGCTCTCACTTTTTGTATACATTATTTACTAAGAGATAAATGTTATGTAATTCATCATTGAACTTGAAATATCTCTCTTAAATTAATTTTAAAAGTTTTATATTTTTATTTTACTGAGTGTTAATCTTTCTCCTTATTATGAAATGAGATACACTAATTATACCTGGAAATTATGGAAAAGATATTAAAATTATAAATAACCATAATTCCATCAGCCAGAAAAAACACTGCTTCCATTTTGGTGTGTCTCTCCTTAGTCGTCTTTTGTCCTGGTGCATATTTTTTTTTCTTTTACAAAATTGGAATCCCCATTTTTTAACTTTTAAAAAATGATATTTTATGTCTTAAGTGTTATTTAGAAACATGACTTTTTAATTGTTGTATCCTCATCAATGTATTTAAGATATTGAAGAAAATTTAATATCAAGTTTCATGATGTGTATGAGACATTATTGTAACTAATATACTTTAACCTAGTTCACATAAGCTGATCTTAAGTTTTTGCCCTCTCTCTGAACAATGTCAGACATGTTTTATTTTTAAGTATGAATTTAAGATCTGAGCATTGATGAAATGCTTGCACTCCTGATAACCAGCTTTCTTTCCTTTCTTTCAGTGTACTCAGGAAGCATTACACCTCCATGTGTAACATCCTTGTTTTCTCTCATCAATTCTGGGCCCTGTTATTGGTGCTCTGACCCTGCGTACCTTAAAAACCCTGGAAATTTATTGGATTTTTCCCACCATGCTGGACTGACTTCTTCCTGTTTCTTTATTGTCTTCACCCATCTGTTTTCTTTTCTGCAGCAGATGGTTACTGATGATCAGAGAGCTTCAGGACCACCCGACTCACCTCCACATTGACATCATAGCTCCTAGCCGACTTCCACCTTCCCACCTGAGTTAGTCTCCTATTCCTCCAGGCTACTGTCATCTCCCTGTTCCCAATCTTTCACTCTTCAGCTGACCAATCCCTTCTGCTCCTCTCATCCTGTCCTTGCAGTGACCATTCTTCACCGAAGTCCTGCCCTGTAGAAATCTTCTGCTCTCATTTCTCCTTCAAACATTTGTTTCTTCTGCTTTTATGTCTGTCCATCTGGTTAACCCCTTTTTCTTGGCTTCATTTGGCTCTACATTGCAAAACAACTTTACCAGAATAGCACTTTCAATTATGCCACAACATTTACAATTTCTTGCCATGCATCTCATAAGAAGCACTTACACTCCATGTTTTTATTTTTATTTTTTTTGCTGGATGACTATTTCCTTTAAAAAAACGGTGCACATAGTCATTGACACAGTTCCTTAGCATGAATCATCAATGACCCCAGAATTTTAGGTATTTATGTTTTTTAAATGTACTAAGTCTAAATATAGGCCAGATCCCTCTCCCATTAAAAATATTTTTAATGCATTTGCTTGAAGTTTGCAGAGTTCAGAAGACATCCTCACGTGCACACCATAATCTAGAATTCATTCTGCAATTAAGGAAGGAAAATGAGTTGTTGGTTATTATTATACCACAATTAGGGAAGGAAAGCTGGGGCAGACTTTTTGATTTAGCAAGTTTTTCTATGTCACACAGAATTCCAGTTAGCAGAAGCTTCTGTCTAAAATCCTAGAGATGGAAATTCAGCTTGTATCGTCTTCCCTTTTTCCTTCACATTCCCAATGTGTTTGCCTGTTTCCTTCAGAGAGAGAAACACAAGCTGAATCCTAACAGGAACCAGCAAGTACATGTGAGAAAAGTCAGAACAAGAAAAGAAGAGTGGGAGAGAAGGAAAATGGGCATTGAATTTATGAGTGACGCAAGGAAACTGGAACAGGCAGGGAGCACGAAAGAGGACAGGATGCCCAGAGGGTTTGTCATTTTCTTTCTTTGGATTCCCAGTTCCAGGCCACCCCCTGCTTCAGTGTCATGAGAGGATGTGCAGTCCCTACTCACGTGTCCAGTAACCCAGGCCAGGAGTGTGTGACTGTTACTAATGCCTGTGGCCAAGCTGCTGCCATACATGCAAGTCCATCCTCTCCTTCTGGGGCTTAGCCAGCGTCCAGCACCTGGCATCTTTCTGAACTCTTTTCACTAATATGTGATTTCCATTTTCAGAGTTTTACACTTGACTATGTGTTCAAAGAAAGCAAGAAGGCCTTTCCATAGTGTACCACATTGCTTCTTTGTCTTTGGGTTAAATAATTGCTTCTGTTATGAAACACATGGTTCACTCTGTTATACATTCTGCATTTCTCTTTCTGTTCTTATTGTTAATATTTACCCAGTTCACCTGCCATTTTGTATTTTCTAATTATATACTGTCAGTTTCATTGCCACCGAAATCCTGTCTGAGATGCTGTTTCTAAATGAAATGAGATTCATCTTGTAGTCTTGTCTCTTAGAAAAGAAGTACATGAAATACTGTGAAAATGAGGCTCTGCTGGTTCCTGCTTGCTGGTCTGTCTGACTTATTCACTTCAAAGCTGTGAATCTGAATCCATGTAACACTGGGGCTTGCCGCTAAGATAGTAATTATGTTGTTGCTTGGAAGCTCTCATGGGACTAGACCTAGTAGATAGTTAAAGAAATAAATTTCTGATTTCTGTGCCTTGGCAATGTTGTTATTCATATATATGCTTCTGCCTGATAAGGGAAATTTTTTAAACAATTTAAATTTCTTTCATTCCTTTTTCTCCAACATCAGATCCCATGCATCAGATGTTACAGATTACTCTTATCCAGCTACACCCAACCATTCTCTGCATCCCCAGCCGGTCACCCCTTCCTACACTGCCGGTGATGCACCACCACATGGGGCTGCAAACCAGGCCCCTGAACACGAGTACCGGCCCCCCTCTGCCTCGGTGAGGCACATGGCCCTAAACAGACCTCAGCAGCCGCCACCACCACCACCACCCCAGGCCCCAGAGGGGTCCCAGGCCTCTGCACCAATGGCTCCAGCAGATTATGGGTAAATCAGTATTCCTTGTACTTTAGTTGCTACTTGTTTTTGCATTTGAATCTTAATGTATTGTGGAAGAAGTTTAACCTCGATATCTTAGATACCAGAATATAGTCAAGACTAATTGGATGTAGACACTTCAGTGGTGTCCTACTCTATGTTAAATAAAGTAGGTGTGCTACTGACCCTACCTTATTACAGCTAAATTCCAGGTTGACAGCTGTGTTCCTGTATATGTGTTCTCTTTGCATACATACTTACAAGTGTTTGAAAGGATCTTTAAATCAGGCATTGATAAAGGATGACATGCTGTTTTGTGAAACTGTTTAAATTCTCAAATTTCTCTACACGTCCTGGGTGAACCATAGAGAATGCTTATCACAGATGACTGAATCCTGTAACATCACTTCTCACACTTGGCTCTATAAACTTTCTTGACCTCTGGGCCCTTAGATTGTTTTTGTCTTAACCCTCAGAGTCAGTACCCAGAGAAGTTGAATATATGCTTCTGTAATGTGTGTTCTTTACCCAGAGCACTGGTGTCACTTTCTAAATGTATGTTCTCAGCCCTCAAAGGAGAGACCACACAGACTTGGCTATTCTTTTTGTGCCCTGGTGGAACCAGGATTCCCAGAGTGCTGCTTTCAGTCATAGAGAGGGCCTGTGGTCCAGTTGACTGGGAAAACCCTTGACTGAGCAGAAATCAGCTGATTTATTGGCTTAGAACTTTTCAAAGCCTTTGACACGCTACTGGGTGCTGTGGTGCCAGGGCTTCCATGAAACTGGGCTAGAGAATATAGGATTTTCCTCATCTGGTTGGCCACGCAGCCCTCAGGAGACAAGTTTCTAAGCCCTTTGAGATGCCCAGGATGAAGGATGCCATTGCTCTTCTGCAGCCAACTACATTATTTTAGTATTCACAGAAGTTGCTTTCCTCTTCAGTGATTGTGTGTTTGTGTGTGTGTGTGTGTGTGTTTCAATAAGTCTTGCATTCATCATAATGAATAATGTAGGACTGTAAAATGACAGAACCACAGAGTGGGCATGTGCATCCTTCAGTGACTGAAGTCTGGCTGGTAGGGGGCATTGTGTCTGGGGGAACTTCTTTGATTAGGCATATTAGAACTCGGGGACATGGCCCTTTATTGTTACATTGGTGACTCTGTTTCATCTCTTTATTAGGATGCTCCCGGCACAGATAATTGAGTATTACAACCCTTCAGGACCACCTCCTCCTCCACCTCCACCCATGATTCCTTCAGCACAAACTGCTTTTGTCAGCCCTCTCCAGATCCCCATGCAGCCCCCCTTTCCTGCATCAGCTGGTTCCACATACGCAGCTCCTCCTCATCCACCCTCAGCTGGGCTCCTCATCACAGCACCACCGCCTCCAGGTCCACCACCTCCTCCACCAGGCCCTCCTGGCCCCGGCTCTTCTCTTTCATCCTCCCCAATGCATGGCCCCCCTGTAGCTGAGGCAAAGCGTCCTGAGCTGGCACAGCCCCCAATAAGTGATGCTCGAAGTGACCTCCTTGCTGCCATCAGGATGGGTAAGTGGAGCACCCCACATATACACAGCCTTCCTTATAGAGAGATTTCTTTAGGTCTCTAGCAAACTTCAACCTTGTTGCCTTCAAATGATAGCTCTACACATTAAATGATTTTTTGGAGTCAAAGAATGCTTGTTTGATTTTTTTTTAATATTAGGAGTTTTTTTTGTAGTTGTCAGGTATGCATATCATGTTAAAGAATTGAGAAGAGACTATATGAAAGCTATATGAGACTATATAAGAGCAGGCATATGGGACAGTGTGGCTCTAGAACGTTCCATTGAGGTGTTCATTTGCACCTTAGTCACAACTAATCTTCTTAGAATGGACTTTGCACACTCTTTTCTCCCCTCAAATTTCTAAAACCTTTTGTCCTTAAACTTAGAAAAACCAAGTCCAGTAGTCCTGTTCAGTCTTCTTTCATTTTGGAGCAATCAGAACATTTTAATTCTCACCCCTATGTCGTGTCTCTAGGAATTCAGCTGAAAAAGGTGCAGGAGCAACGTGAGCAAGAGGCCAAGCGGGAGCCTGTTGGAAACGACGTGGCCACAATCCTGTCCAGACGCATTGCTGTAGAGTACAGCGACTCCGATGACGACTCTGAGTTTGATGAGAATGACTGGTCTGACTAAGGCCATACAGGGACGGTGGCAGGTGGACCACCAGTACAGTGTGTGTGGAAGTTCACTGGGGATTTCAGATGGTTTCAGCACCCAAATAGTGGTATTATAATCCTGTAGCTTAGCACCTTTTGTATTAATAATGTGATATCGCTTCTGCACATCCAAAATTTCTGGGTTTTTTCAGTATTTACTGTGTAATACTTAAGTGCCACTAAATATAGCACATCGTGCTGCACACAAGGAGATATGCTGTAACTATTGCATTGTTCTGAAAACAGCATCTTGCTTCCCTCTTGGCCATGAAAGTATTTACTTTACCCTTATTGATCATTAAGATTCTGTAGACTTGCTGTGTGTCTGTGAGCTGCCTGGTGTTAGGTCTTGGCAAGATTAATGACTGTGTCAAGAGTGATGTCTTCCAATCAGTAAGTGTCACTGTTTTGCCTTTTTTTTTTCATTTTTACTATGTGTTTCAGAAGAAGTTGGTTGTAGAGGGAAAGGTCTAACAACAGGAGAATCAAATGTTTCTGCATTCAGTTTCTTGATTTGGTAGCTACTGAGTGAATTCAAATGTTCTACTGAATAATTTCATTGCCTTTTCATGCACTTGTCAAATGTGAAATTGGAAGGGCCCTTTTCAGGCAGGTTTCCTGTGGATATTCACTTAATAAATGCTTGTTGGTGATTTTTGTATGAAGTTTCAGTGGCTCAGTAGTATTGCAAATGAACACAAGGTCCTTTTCCCTTTTAGGGACCATTGGGTTCACACTTAAAATATTGGCTAGCCCTGATGGCTTGGGCACCAGGCAGCCAGAACAGCTGTGAGCCATCTAGGAGTATAGCCCCCAGCTAGACAGAGCTACCACATGTGGCCCTGCATGCAAAGGCAACCCACTCCATTTGGTCAGAATTTTAAAAGCTTACATTTAAGTGAAAAATAGTGACAGCTATTTACTTCTCACGGTGCTGTGGCAGATTGGGGGTTAGCCCCATGCAGGGCCTTTGCCCTGTCCTAGAAGCACACAGTTCTCTTCTTTCATATTGTTGTTAGCACATTAAATTTTTAAAAATGTACCTCACAAGATTACCTTGATTTGATCCCTAGTGGTGGCAAAGCACCTTGCTTTCACCTCCACTCACCCTGTTCCCCTTTCCACATGGTGATCCCATAGACCTGGCTCAGGCATTCTACCGGGGAGACTCAAGAATGACAGCTTCTACTTTGTAATTCTAGATAAGGACAAATGCTTGTTTAGAATAAATAATTGTCCCAGGCTTGGGTTGTAGATAGGAAAAATATGCTAAGGTCCTTCACTTGCTGTGGAGTCTGTGCCTATCTGCAGTACTTCCAATAGGTTGCAGGTGCTAGGAACTCTCAGCTCCAACAAAGGAAAGAATCTTGAGCTGAGGATGAGATGTGTGAGTTGATGGGAGAATGTTGTAACAAATGATTTTTGTTCATGAATTCTGGGGAAATCAGCCAGCTGCCCACATCACCCTGTGTCTCCGTGTAACTTGGGGCAGCTATTGTATGATGCCTGCCTGCTCACTGGGTTTTGGTCACATAGATTTTGAAACTGCAAAGTCTAGTGTCTATACCCACTTTCCAAGGCCCTCCTTTGGCTGTGCATTCAAGTCCTCTCTGCTGCACAGCTGCTTGGTGTGTGCCTCCTGAGCAGGCCCTACTTGGCTGTCACTATGATTTTTTTTTAATATTAGTAACTATTAGTGAATTTATAAGTTTCTCTTTTTTCCAATGCAGAGACCTACTGTGTTGGCATTACTCTTGGTACTTTTACCAGTTTTAGTCTTATTTTGTGTTTATTGTAATAGTTTGCCTTCATTGTTACTGTTGGGTTAGGAGTATTCTGTATAATCAGAAACCTGGATTTAGCAATGCTTCTTTGTTTTCTGGCCGTTCTCTTCTCTGGATGGAGGGAGCACCGTCAGCTACTATTCACTTCAGAATTTCTTCTATTTATATCCTACTACAATAAAATTAGTGGCACTTTATTCATAAATATTCATGAGCCTATTAATTACTAGTTGTCTTCCTGTAGTTTAAATAAAAAAGTTATTTTTAATTTGTTTTTATGGCTAGTGAGATAGCTTTTGCCCTCTTGTGTTCTGTTACCTATAAGAGAATGGAAAATGACTAAAATCCAGTCTAGATTATTTTAGAGTATCTTCAACAAATCTGATTTGGTCTAAATTTAAATCTTCTAATAAGGTATTCCCTACAAAGAACAAAGTGAAGAGTTTGAATTTTCCTTTTCCATTTTTAAAAAGTATTTACCAAAACAAATGGAGAAAATATTTAACAGTATATTTTATTTCTATAAATTTTACATTTTAAATTATAGTTACAATTTTAAGATTATTTTAAATTCTCCCCAGTTGTATTGCTCCATGTGTGTTAAGTTGAATATCTCATAAGCATTTTCCTCATGGCACAGACTCAGGCAGACAGGCTGGAAAGATGCCTGAATCCACATGTCACTGCACAAGCATGATGTGGCTGAACAGCAGGCAAATGATTTTTGCATTGTTAGCCCCAAACCATAAGATTTGGTACACTTATGATTTTCTTTACATAGGATCCTATTAGAAAATTAATGTTTTCATTTCAGTAAATTTTTAGCACATCGAAATCTTTTATGAGCACCAAGTGGCTAGGTTGTAAAAGTTTTGTAATGATTTGCAACTAAAATACATGATACATTTTAATCCATTACAGATTAGTGGGAATGTATCAGCCAGAGTAGCAAGTAATTTTTGTTTTATGAAGCAGAGTATCTGTCATCTTGCAGTATTACCAATGCTGTTGTAAATTGAATTTAAAGTGGTATTAAAAAGATCCTGTCAAACAATTTTTATCTGTTTGTATATCTTACTATAGATTATGTACAAGTAACATCTAAATAAAATTACACTTTTAACCCTACAAGGTTCTGTTGTATGTTTGACTCTTAGGAGGAAGTTGGAAGTTTTATATTTATTTAGCATGTTCATTATCAGATAACAGAAGATTCTACAATGATTCCACTTAAATTTCTGCATAATTTTTGTGTGACTGTAAGTCCAGATTGAATTCTGTGAGTGCCACAAGGAAGCACTAGTATAGTTAGGAGAAGCCATTCTGGGAACAGAAGCAACATGTTCAGAAGTTAAAGGCTGGGGCAACGAGGGTCTTGGCCATATTTGGTCTGATAATAATAATGACTAGTACTCTGTAGTATCCATTGCTTATGAATATTCATTGCTTACTCCTTAAAATCTTTTAAGATGGGCATTCTATTTCACATATGAGAAAACTAGGGGACCATGCATGATATGAAACTCAACCTGGGGAAGGAATTTCATGTTGGGAGTAATGAGAATCCAGATTGGGTAGGTATGTTTGGTCTTGTTAGGAAAGACAGACTGGAACTTAACTCTGTAACAACTGCCTTGGACTGCTGATGCAAGCAGTAGATATGTTTGCCCTAACACACGTCACATGATCTTGTTAGTTCTTTGTGTAACCTCCTGCCAGACTGTGTGCTTTGTGTCATCCTTATTTGTCTTGCATCTGAGAGCCCCAGCACAGTGCCCAGTTAACTAGGCAATCAGCAACTCCTTGTTAAGTGATAAGATAATGGATAGATTTCCAAGTTACTTTTTAAACAAAAGGTAAATTGTGTGCAAATTTTAAGAACAGGGAGTATTTTACCACATACCTCGCATATCCTCTCTGTATTAGGACTTGTTATTTGACATGACTTTCTCTTTATTTGGGTGCATGGCCCACCAGACTGAGCTGGGTGAAGAAGGCAGAGAACTCCGATTTACTCTGTTCTGTTTATTGCATGCAGTGCCTGGCATTCAATATTAACAAATATTTTTTGAGTAATTGTCATTTCTAGAACAAAATCAAAGGCTTCAACAAATATTTGAGGGACTAATAGGAGTTGAAATGCATGAATCTGTAAAAGCACTCAGAAGAGTGCCTTACATCTAGCACACTCAGTGAATGTGAGCTGTTACTATCATCTGCAGGTCACTTGCTGAGGAAGAGTGAGCAGGCCAGTCCCTGCCTTTGTGGAGCTTCTTGTCTCATGAGAAGCATAGTCACAAAATTGTGAATGCTCCCTGACTTACAATGAGGTTATATGCCAGTAAACCCATCATAAATTGAAAATGCATTAATCATCCTAACTACTGCACATCCCAGTTTAGCAACACAGCATACTATAGGCTATCAGTTCTTGCCTGTTGTGATTGCAAGGCAGGCCACTGCTATGGCCAGCATCAAGAGAGGGAATTGGATTACATATTACTAGCCTGGGAAAAGATCCAAATACAAATTTTGAAGGATGATTTCTACTTAATGAGGATTGTTTTTGCACCAATATAAGGTTAGATAAAAAAAATCTTAAGTTGAAGTATATCATAAGGACTTTCCATATTGCTAAATAAATAATGTAGATCACTTTACATGTACTCTAATTGGGAGTGAGGTAGAAAGTGGACGAAGTCTAGTCTGTGGACCAATGGAAGCTAAGATTTAAGAATGAGCAGAAGTTAGGGGCAAAGAGAAGGGAAAGGAGTTTCTCAATAGAGGGATGGCATTTACTTTCCTTAAGAAGGAAAGGGCAATGTATAGTGATCATGCAAAAATATTAAAATATGAATGAGATGGAAGGACCCAGAGGAAGAAGGTACCACAAGAGGGACAGAAACGAGATGGTGGGAACCTCTACTGCCCCTTAGTTAAGCCAATGAATGCTGCCACAATAATATGTCTACCATAACTGAAATGTACAGCAAATCTATTTATAGCCTGTTGACTTTTCATTAATCTCAATATCTTGATGCTTTAGACAATACTCATATATAGAAAGGATCTTAGGTATATTGTGTTCATATATTTAGAAGACATCTTAGTGCTAGTCCAGCTGCTTCATATTAAAGATGGGAAAAGGCCATTGCTTGCATGGCTAGTTGCTCAAAGCTCTTCGGTCTCTTAACTCTTATATTTTCAAACTGGTCCTCCTGTTTCACAATGGGCCTTCAAGAATTACTTAACATTCTTCTTTACCCAACGTTTTATTGTGCAAAAATTGAAACCTACTAGAAAGATGTTCAATAAATTTCCATCTGTTCATATCTATTCATCTCATGTTTTTTTTTTTTTTTTGGGGGGGGGGTGCTTGGGATTGAACTCAGGACCTTGTGCATGTGAGGCAAGCACTCTACCAACTGAGCTATATCCCCAGCCCTATTCA